GGCTGTATGTTTGCTGCATAGTGGCATTTTTAACAAAAACAACAAACACACCAAACCCATCCTTTATTGCTTTCATTCTACCTCTGAGACAAAGGTTTGTGTCCAGGAAAGAGCAGCATGAAGGTCAAAGGTTTGTGTTCAGGGAAAAGCAGCATGAAGGTAAAGCTTCATGTGGGGAAGGATCTGAGGCTGCTGGAAATCCATTTTACTCCAGGAATCAGCGATCCACAACAAAAGTCCTGTGCTCAGGGTCAATGGATACAGTGGGAATTTGGGGAACTCTACACTGTATTAATGAATATATTGTGTGTGCACGTGCTGGGGACTGGGCAGCATTGTTTTGTAGCAGTACAGTGACAGTTCTATTTTTAATGGAAATAATGTTCATTTTAAGCTTCTCCCATGCGTGTAGGGATGGGTGGCAGTTCTGGAGCTCCTGGGGTCACACACCTGGCTGCCCCCCGTGCCAGGCAAAGCAGTGTCTGGGGTCCTGGACTCCTGGAACGGGCACCTGGGCCAAGGCTGAGCACAGGGAGCTGTCCCAGGAGTCACCTGGGGTTTTTCTCTGCAGTTGTGATTCAGGGGTGTTGGTTCAGTCCCTGGCTCTGTTACAGACACAGGCATGGCCTTGGCTGAGCTGCTGAACTGCTCCTCCTCTGTAAACGAGGGCTCACAGCCTTTGAACTTCCCTCCCCTACCTGTTGTGGTTGCAGACCCTCAGTGCCCTCAGTGCCCTCAGTGCCCTCAGTGCCCTCATCCCTGCTCTCTTCCTCCCTGGGAGGAAGCAGAGACCGCTCTGAGAACTGGGTTCCTCGTGGCTTTAGCCTGAACTGTAGCTCTATTAATACAAAGATAAACATAATTTAAATTCAATTTGACCTTAAGTGGCAGCTGTGACAAAGCATGGCATGTTTGAAGTCTGGATACAATTATTTGGAATTGCTAAACACTGCACTCCAATCCTGACCTTTCACTGGCACCGGAGCCAGAGGAGGGCCCTGACTTTAACTTCTGAACTGCAAATCACCCCGTTGGAAAGAGCCTTCAGAAGCCATTATAATCACAGGGAATGTTGGAAAGTGTGTAGAAGCTATAAGCAAAATATTTATTTTACACACTCATCTGCATTTAATCCATAAATCTGTCTACTACGAGAGTGTTTTACTGGTGTAGAGGAGACAAGTAAGCTGAGATCATAGCAGACATGTCCTATAAGGCTTTACTGGAAATCATTGCTTTTTAATCCCTTTATCCCTGTTATTTCCTACCACTGTGAAAATCCAGTGGCAGGGGAAGCTGGCACAGTGTAGGACAGATGCATAATGTGTAATGCTAAGCAGGCAAGAATCCTTCTGTTTGTGTAATGCTCCAAACACATTAGAAATGTCAGTGTTAGTGCCGTGTCCTACATAAATAAAAATAAATTATCAATACTCAGCTCCGTGTTCCACACCTTTGGGATGACCTTGTGGCATGTGCTGCCTTGATATCAGTGACTAATCTTCTAAGCAGTATAGTGGAAGATGTCCCTGCTCCTGGCAGGGAGGTTGGGATGAAGTGGTCTTTAAGGTCCTTTCCAACCCCCCCCATTCTCCCTGATAATTGGAGCTAGCCAGGAAAGTTGAGCTGGACTAGTTGATATGAAGAGCAGGTACCACCCAAGTGGGCTGTAAAAACTGAGTTGTGTGCTTCATGGAGTATAACACCCGATCCCACACCTTTAATTTTTAATTTCCTTTGCATTATTTCTTCCCTGCATAAACACTGCAAACACGCTTAGGCAGTGGGATTGAGCTGGAATGTCCAGAGGGCATCTAGAAATATCCAGGTGTGTGATTGCTTCCCTGATCTTCCCATTAAAGCCTCCTCCAGGCTGCAGTACAAATTTAATCAGCTGAGCTGCCTCCTGGAGCCCTGGGATGTGGCTGGTCAGGGCGCAGTTGGAGGTGTCTGTACCAGGGTGACAGTGGCTGCAGTGCTCGAGGAGGGCTCGGGGCAGTGCTGGGGACAGCGGGACACCCTCATGTGCCAGGGGTTTGGGAAGGGGGCGGTTCATGGGAATTTCTTTTCCTTACGTGTGTGTTTTGCAAGGGAATGTTTGAGGATGCACGTGGCTGTGAGGGCAGAGCTGTGTGTGAGGGATTTACGTGAGCAGCAGCAGCAACAGTTCCCTCCCAAAGGGAATCCCAGCGATTCCAGGTCATCCCGCCCCGCTGGTGCCGAGTGAGGACAGAGCCTGTGCCCAACACCAAACTGGTCTTTGCTTCAGGGTGGCATCAGGGGCACCCCCAATCCTTTGGGTTAGAAAGTGTGCAATCAAAAAGATCAAAAATCGTGTTTCTCTCTTGTTGCCCAGAGGAGCTGTGGCTGCCCCATCCCTGCAAGTGTCCAAGGCCAGGTTGGAGCAACCTGGGATAGTGGAAGGTCTCCCTGCCCATGGCAGGGGGTGGCACTGGATGGGCTTTGGGGCCCCTTCAATTGTGGGATTTCATGATTCCATGATTCTCCTGCTCTCCAGGGAGGAGATTGGACTGATGGCTCTTCCGACATGCTGAGTGGAACACAATTCTTGTTGGAATCAGAAGTTTCATTGTCCTGGAAACAGAAGTGCAACGAGGCCTGATCTTTGCTCACCCTGGTGCCTCCTGGCCCAGCAGTGGGACAGCCTGTCCTTGCACACCCCCCCCAGCATTCCCCGTGTCCATCCTGTCCGTGCAGGACCCTGCACGGAGTGACCCCATCCCTGCTGCCCCCACCTCCTCCTGCAGCAGCCAAGGGGTTGGTTGCTGTTTCTGCAGTTCAGGGCTGCAGGTTGGAGCCAATTAATGTGAGCACAGCCTCCTCCCCGAGTCATTAGCCACGAGGACAAAGCCTCAGAGTCCCCTCTTCCTCTCTCACCCTGTTTATGCTCCCTGTGATTTCCTGGCAGCTCTGCCAGAGTTCCCAGGCTGGAGCCCAGCTCTTCCAAAGGGGCAGCTGTGGGGGCACAACCCCACCTGGATAAATTAGAATTTATCTGATCTGTTAATCTGGGGCAAGAGAACACATGGAGTGTCGGGGAAGAGCCAGTTCAGGATTTTGACAACAAAAATATGGGTTCTTTCAGCCAGAATAATTTAAAACAATGGCTCATTTCTGTGCTGTTCCTGACATTCAGGAGAAATTGTGGGAGAGTGACAGGTTCTCAGGCTGTTCTATCTGACTTTAAAACATGGGCCTTAGGAAATGACTTTGTACCTAAACAACGAGCAGTTTTCCAATTATTTTACTAAACAAATACAAGTATTCTGTAGAAACAGCTGCGACTCTCGGAAGGTATTTTTCCATAAGGTAAATTCAATCAAAGGGAATGTGCTGCTTTTAGATAATGTTCCAGGAGTGAATGCAGAGAGCAGAGCTGAGGAGCTGAGATACTGAATCCCTGAGCCCCCACTGCTGCCATGGCCCCGGATCTCCCTCTGCCCCCTGCCAGCCATGACTCCTGGATTTCCTACAGCCCCTCCAGCTCCTGCACTGCTGGGAGTTTGATGCAAAGGGATGCAGACAGTTTGCACTCCATGTTGCATTTCAGCATCCCACTGTGCACATCACTGGCAGAGGTTGGGATATTGGATCACAGGATGGTTTGGGTTGGAAGGGACCTTAAAGCCCATCCAGCCCCACCCCCTGCCATGGGCAGGGACACCTCCCACCAGCCCAGGTTGCTCCAAGCCCTGTCCAACCTGGCCTTGGACACTTCCAGGGATGGGGCAGCCACAGCTTCCCCAGACAACCTCCATGGAGAACAAACCCCTCTGGAGCTGAGCTGTGTTTGTCCACCTTCAGATAAGAACTTTGTGGCAGGGCTGAGAGCTGAACCCAAAGGTTTTGAGTCACCAATCCAGGACTGGTTGATCACCCAGGCCTGTTAATCTTCCCAATACATTTAGAGATTTGTAGGTCCGAGCTGGTTCTGTGGAAACCTGCTGGTGGTGCTCTTGGGGATGGATGAGCAGAGCTGCCTCCTGCTGCACTGGCTTTGCCTTCCTCACAGGAACCTTCCAACCCCAGAGGAGAGGCTGCTGGGCAAGGCCAACTCTGTATTTATGTGCTGTGCTGTGGGGGAATGTCCATCATCCCAGGAGGACCACTGAGTACCAGGTACTTGGGTCAAATTCCAGCTGAGTCCTACACCCAAACTCTTTGATCTGGGAATCCACACGAGGACACCAGTGGCCTCCTGGACACCTGGTTGCCTGTGAGGAATGTCAGAGCACAGGCTGAGGGTAAACCCAGCAGAAGAGGAAAATATCAGTTAAAAATCTGAGCTTCCTGTGCATTTTTAAAGCATTTACTAGAACATAAGAGAGCATTTTCTCCCTTGCTAAGCAGTGATCAGATGCCTGCAAGAGCACCTTCTATAGATCCTGCTCCTATAAAATCTAATTGGTTTCATATCTTTTAAATTCTAAAGGCCTTTCTTTAGAGTTGTGGTTTGTTGGTTTTCTTTTTAAAAATCAAGGAATAGATTTATTCTTGATGTTTTGAGCACATTATTGCAGTAACCTCATCCTTGGACCACAGCTTTGGCAGAACACACACATCCATAATGAGGGACTGCGTGTTCTGGGGAGGTTTTATTACAAAAGAAGTGAACAAGTATATTAGGAAGAAAGGGGGAAAACAGAGAAGACTATTTTTTTGGCCAAGCTTTGTATTACAGATCTCATTTCTCTGGTTGCAGCTGCCTTGAGGCTCCCATTCCAGCAAGCTGCTCTGTTCTGCTGAGCTGGAGATACTTCCCAAATTTGCTCTTTGGTGAAACAGCCACTTGTGCAGGTTCCCCATAAAAATGACTGATTTGGGTTTTACCAAGAGCTCTGGAACTGCTCCAGTACAAGAAAGAATTACATTTATAGAGAGGTTTATCAAGATGGGAATAGTGGCACAAACATTTGAAATGGCCGGTGTAATCCTCTGTCTTCCCCCAAACAAGCCTCCCTGGGCAGGGTTTGCAGCTGTTCTGGAATGAAAGCTTCCTGAAAGGAATCTATTTCCCTGTGGGACTGCCCAGCTTTCAGCCCTGCTTCTGGGGGAAGGTAAGAGAGCTCTGTTTTCATTTACTATTTATGAGATGTGCATTCAGATTGCCTAGTGACCACAGGACTCGGTGCTTTTAAGAATCTGCAAATGAGATGAAGCTCATTATTTTTTAATGTGAAAGGGATTATTGCAATGTGAGTGCAGGGATATGTAACCTCAGAGCTGGGGCTTGCTGGGGGATGGATTTGGAGGCTTTTGCTTTAGGAAGCCAATAAAGAGCACACAGGATTTCCCAGTCATTCTGCTCAGCATCTAAAAGCAGTGTTAATTAGAAATAACACTAAAGGGGATTTTTTGTTTAATTGCAGACCACCACTTGTAGGAAATTGCCCTCCTTGTGTGTGCATTTCACTGTACAGTGTTGAGAGAAATGCAGGAGCACGTTACCAAAATAAATCTTTTTCTTAATAAGCAAAAATTCCTGGTTGTCCCCTCCTGCCCCCACGCACCAGAGCCGGGCTCGGGGTCCCAAGGGAAAGCAAAGGCTGAAAGCACAAATCCAACTTGCTCCCGTGATTTCTGGATACCAGGGAGGCTCTGGTCACACACAAGGTTTGTGCACAACTGGAATATTTTTCAGGCCTGTGTGTCTGAGCCAGAGCTGTCAACAGGTGGCAAAGGCACCTGCAGGAGAAGGCTCTGAGTTATCAACGTGTGTCAGTGACAGTTGGAGCTGTTACAGAAAACAGTGAATTGAGGGGAAGCAGCAGAGCTTTGCTGTGTGGGGGAAGGATGGAGGGGCATCGAGCAATTGAGCAGCTGCCAGGACTTCACAGAGCCCTGGGAATGACATCCCTGCTCCCAGCAGCAGACTGGGATCTGCAGGGAGGAGGCACAGGACACGGAGATGCCCCTGCACACCACGGCTGCCTCCTCTCCAGGGCAGTGAGGCAGCATTTATCCAAATGTCCTCAGGGAACTGGTGACCAGCTGCCAGGGAACAGGCACTTACAGTCCTGAGGTGCTTTTTAAGACCCCAGACTAATTTCCTTGCCTGTGTTCCTGCTCTCCTGAGCTCATGCTCCACAAATGCAGTAATTGCAGGCATTTGTTTCGAGCCGCACGAGCCTGAGCTCCGGAGCAAGTTTTATTTACTGCAATTATATCTGGCAGGTAATTTCTAGTAAAGCCAGGGAAATGATAAACCTCTCACTAAATCCATGAACAGAAAAATAGGGTAAATTGATCAAATAAAAGCTGTTTCCTACCTAATAAAAAAATTATTACGTGCATAACATCCTGGAACAGAAATAGCTCTGATGAAACCATGAAGACAAGCAGGAACCTGCTAGAGGCATCTGTGCAGGGTTTTTAAATTTGGGTCCACTCCTAGCAAAGAGACTTAGAATCTGCTTTTGTCCTAACAATGAATTATTATTAATTTACCCTTTGATGGTGGTGGAGCTGCTCCAGCTCTGCCTTGTGTCACTGATGAGTGATTTAGGTCCCTTAAAGAATCCCTGACAAAGGTATTGGCAAAAGGGGATTTAATTTGAGTTTGTAAAGTGTGATTTAACAAAGTTTGATGGCAAGTTTTAGTCTATCATTTACTGCATGGATGAAACCTGCAAAGGGAAATGGAATTAGAATTGATTTAGAATGATTTACACAGAGACTGAAGAGCCAGAAGGGTCAGGGAAACCCTCCTGTTGAGTCTCAAGGTGCAGGGTAGAATTTCTTTCTCATTTGTGTTTGGATAAGGGGAAAAGACAGCCTGGGACATGAGAGCATCCATTTGGACAGGTTAATGAAAGCTTAAAGCAGAACTGGACCCTTTTGATTTCCACAGCAATATCTCTGCATTCCCCCCTCATGGGGTGTGTTAAAAGCATTCCCAGGGCAGTGGTTGCAGGAGCTGCCCCAGGGTTAGGGAGGCCACAGACAGTAATATACAGCATTCCCATTTTCCAACGTAAAGCATCCTTGTGTGTGACTCCATGTCACTTCATGCCTCATTATCCATCACCCTCTGTGGGCTGAGGGAAGCTCTGTCCAAGCCTGGGTTGGGAAGCAAGGCAGAAATGGGAGATGAGGAAGGGCTGCTTATCACCCATGGAAAGGCTCTTCTCTGGCTCCTCCCTGGTGCTCCCCAGACTCCACACTCTGTGAGCCCAGACAGAGAACAGTGTCACTCAGAGGCCCATATATTCCTTCTCCTTTGCAGTGATGGGAACCTGGAGTGACAGGCTGAGAGCTGGGAATTACCCATCATGTGGCACCTCCATCCTCCTCCCAGTGCCCTGCTGGCCAGTCTGGGCACGATGTGATTCCAGCTGGTCTCTGCTTGCACTGAGATGGGAAACCAGGAGATATGTCACTTTGGGAAGGGCTCTGCCCACTCTCTGGGACTGCTGGGTTTGCCCTGCCCAGCTGGCATCAGCCCTGGTAGGTCCCTGGTGGGAAGGTAGTACTAAGCCTGGCTTTGCCAGGCTGGCCTTGTGCAGGTTTGAGGATTCTTTGTCCTTCTTATCATCTCCTGGGCACGGGGCCCTCCCTGAGCTTGAGTGGTGGTTGATCCCTGTGAGGTTCCCGAACAAAGAGGAGCAGTGAGGTCTGGGATAACACCCTGGGCAGCCCGGCTGTGCACATCAGGATATCCCTCTATCCCAGCTGTGCACATCAGGATAACCCTCTATCCCAGCTGTGCACATCAGGATAACCCTCTATCCCAGCTCATCCCTGCCTGGCTCAGCCTCCTCCGGCTGCACAGGGGCTGCTCCTGCTGGGATGGAGGGGTGGGACAGGGGAGCAGGGAAGGGGTGGCCGATGTGCTGAGGGAGACAAGGGAGCACGGGGAGGGAGGGCTGGTCCCTCCCCTGCACACGATGGGGAGGGAGGGCTGGTCCCTCCCCTGCACACGATGGGGAGGGAGGGCTGGTCCCTCCCCTGCACACGATGTGCTCCTGTGGGGTGAGCAGGGACAGCCCGAGGGAGCTCTGCTCTCTGAGCACTGTCCAGCTTCACACTGAACCAGCCTAATCCAACAACACTTGGGGACGTGGTTTAGTGGGCATGGGGGTACTCAGGTGAAGGTTGGACTTGAGGATCTCAAAGGTCTTTTCCAACCTTGATGATGCTGGGATTCTATGGAATCAGCAGGCATGACTGGCTGGAAGAAAAATATCTGCAGTATCTTGTTAGAAATGCTGCTCTCTGGCCCTGCAGGAAGGTTTGGAAGGCATTGTGTGTTTGTTTAACTCACATATAATACTTCATAGTCCTGACATTCCTTGGGAAGGACATCTTAGGCACCTTACCTATTCCCCTGTTATATTCCTGCTGTTATATGTATCTCTTCCATCTCTTCCAGGCTCCAGCCTTTTGAATGCTTGACCAAATTCATGATGAAATAAATTCTGTGTATATTGCTAAAGTTTATTGTGCTGTGAAACATTGCACAGAAATCCTTTGTCTGTCCCGAAACTTCAAACAAATCTTTGCTCCTTTTAAAATAACCTTTGAAATGTTTTTCATCACAATGAGTGAAACAGCAAGAATAATAGATGTTGTAGGATTTGTAGCCACGATAGTTTCCTGCTTCTCCAAATGCTTTTGGAAATGCTGATTGATTTGTAACAAAGCTTGAAATGTCACCAGGAGGAATGAATGAAAAATGCACTGCTCTAATGTATGTTGAAGTTGAAATTGGCTCAAAGTTTTAACCTTTAGAGTTGCCTTTTTTTTTTCCCTTTTTTTACCTTTTCACAGTAGTCAAATAGTCGGGAAGATAACTGGGAACAAAATGCACATAGAGAAAATGAATAAATTATGCCCTTATTTTTGGCACATTTACAAGAGAGACATTTTAAAACTCCACTTCAATGACAAAAGAAAGGATTGCTCTACTTAGAGTAAAGCCTGTTCACTTTGGAACAGAGGGATGTGTGGTCTGAGGGATCCATGGCCTGGCTGAATTCTGCAGGTGGTTTTCTTGAGAGGTGGAAACCCCCCTGACCGTGCCCACGAGCACCCTCTGAGCCTGTGGAGATGGCTCTGCTGGGACTGGTCCAGGCAGGATGGGCAGGATGGGACCATTTGTGTCCTGGTCAGTGGTGGAAACGTGGCTGGGAGGGTGAGAGCCACGTCCTGGCAGTGTTTCCTCCCCAGCTGGTTCTGTTGGTCCAACTGGCAGCCAGTTGATCAGGAGCTGGGGGGGTGTTTGGGCAGGAATAATAACAAAGCTTTGCCTGCTCTAGAATTTGCAGTAATGGGAACTGTAAACATGGTTTGAAACCCAGCCAGTGTCTGATCCAGCAGGATGACCCTTCAGGGACTCTGAGGCTGCTGCAGGGCCACCAGCTCCTCTGTGCTTTGTCCCTGGGCCCTTTTCTCACTGCTCGTGTTCCAGTTCTCACAGAGCTCAATGCATTGCCCTCCTCAGCTTAGAAATGGCTGGTGCTTTCTAGGACTTGCTGCTTTTTTTTTTCCTGATGAATTTACTCACTGGAGTATAAAACATAATAACAAAAGCCTGGGGACCTGTCTCTGAAATCAGTCTGTGGTTGCTGCTGGTGGGGGAAGATGTGCATCAGCTGGAGCTGCAGTGCTGGAACACGGCACTGCTTGGGCCTCACTCTCTCCTTCTTCTTCCTCAGTAGCTGCTGCTCTTTGGGCAGTTTTAAACCCAAATGGGTGCCAAGCAGTGAGGGGGACCGAGTGCATTTTGTTGTCACTGAGAACCAGCTCTGCTCACCCTCCCAGAGGTGTCTCCTCCTCCCTCCTCAGCAGAGCCCGTGAGGTTCCATCGCTCGGCACGTCCTCGGTGCTGCAGCAGGACTGGGTAAAACTGCTGCCAAACGTGGTGTTACAGCTTTTGCCCAGGATTTGGGGGCTGGAAACCAGGGCCTGTTCCTTCATGCAGCTCCCACTGTCCCAAGAGCTGTTCCCTGTGCCGTGTGATGGCGAGATGAGGTGGGAAGCAAGAGGTGCTGAGCACAACCACGTCCTTATGTGCTCGTGGTGGCTCACAGGGAACACCAGGAAGGAAGAAGGCAGG